TGGTGAGGCGATAATGAGCAGGAAAAGGATTGGAGACATTTTTCATAGAAACCCCTTATTAATATTATCATTTGTATGAACTTCTTAAGATGGAAAATAATAATTCAATTTGTATTGGGTCACTACACTCTCCCCTCCTAATAAGAAGTTTTGTCCTCGAAACTTAACATACCTTAGTCTCTAAAGAGCTCTGGATATATCTCTTGCTTAGAATCTTCCATTTCCTAAGTAGTTTCTCTTTCTGAATGATTCTTCCATTGAACTTTCACATATTTGATGATTCGACACCTAAATACTTGTTCCTTACAATCCACAATATGCTCAGGTTTCTCCTCATAAGCCAAGTCTGGCTTGATCTCCACTCGAGAGTCGAGACAACTCAACAATCTCATTTGGATCTCGGATGAACTTTCGAAGCACCAATATGTGAAATACGACATGTATTCCGAATAGAGATAGCGGCAATGCTAATTTATACGCCACTAGACCAACTTACTCCAAAATCTCAAAAGGACCGATAAATCTCGGGCTTAACTTTCCTTAGATTTCAAATCTTTTCACTCTACGGGTAGGTGAAACTTTCAAGAAAACATGATCACCAACCTAAATACTAGTTTGATAGCTGTTATTATATGCAAACTCGGCCAAAGGCAGATAATCTTCTCATGATCCTTTCATTTCTAGTACACATCTCAGCATAACTTCTAGTGTTTGAATTGTACTTTCTATTGATCATCCGTTTGTGGATGGTAAGCTGAGCTAAAATTTAGTTTAGTCTGCAGAGCCCTATATACACTTTTTCAATATTCTGATATGAATCTAGGATGTCTATCAGAGACTACTGATATTGGTACGCCATGCAATCTTACTATCTCATTGATGTATATTTTAGATAGTTTTTCTAATAAAAATTTCATATTGATAAGCAAAAAGTACGCTGACTTGATCAATCAATCAATAATCATCCATATCACATCATTTTTTTCAAAGATTTTGGAAGGTCGGTGATGAAATCCATGATGATCTTTTCCCATTTTTACATTGGTATATCCAAGTTTTAGACTAATCCAACAAGTCTTTGATGTTCAGCCTTGTTGGCAAGTAAAACATTCTGCAACATAGGTGGCAATTTTCTTCTTCATATTATTCCATCAATAAATTTTTTTTAAGTCTTTATACATTTTTGTTGATCCAAGATGCATAGTATACTGAGAGTGGGTGTCTCTCTTTTAGAATCTTCTTCTTTATATCTGGTATATTAGGCACACAAACTCTACTTTCAAACCTCAAGGACCTCATCTTCATATAGCTTAAATTCTCTTCAAGTGCCTTCTTTCACATCTTTCTTTATCTTCACCAGTTGAGGATCCTTATGTTGGTTTGCTTTAACTTTATTTGTCAAAGAAGGTTGTATCACCATATTTGCTAATTTAACTCTAATTTGGTGGACTCAAATTTCAATTATAGTACGATCCAAGTCCACCAATATTTTTCTTTGAGAAGTAATTAAATATGCTAAATTGCATGAATTCTTGCAGTTCAAAGCATCAGCAACAACATTCGCCTTGTCGGGATGATAATAGATGGTTATGTCATAATTTTTTAGAAACTCCAACCATCTTCTTTGTCGCAAATTCAACTCCTTCTGAGTGAATATATATTTCAAACTCTTGTGATCAGTGTATATTTCACAATGTACTCCATATAAATAATGTTTCCAAATCTTGAGAGCAAACACTATTGTCGCTAATTCTAAGTCATGAGTAGGATAGTTCTGTTCATAAAGCTTTAACTGCCTTGAAGCATATGCTTTGACTTTCCCATTTTGAATAAAAAATACATCACAGTCCTCTTCTAGAGGCGTTACTATAAATAGCAAAGCATATATCTCCAAAGGGTAATGCAAGTATTGGAGCACACATTAATTGATTTTTTAGCTCTTGAAAGCTATTTCTCACATTCATCTGACCAGATGAAGTTAACTTTTGAGTAAGACGAGACTGAGGTGAGGCAAACAGGAGAATCCTTCCATAAATTTTCTATAGTAGTCAACCATATCAAGGAAACTACGAATCTCCGTCACACTAGTTGGTTTGTCCTAATTAACTATATATTTTATCCTTTCAGGATCCACAAAAATACCTTAGAAATTATATGTCCAAGGAATGTTACTTTCCCCAGCCAAAACTCACATTTTTTAAGTTTCGCATATAATTTTTCTCTCTTTAATGTTTGCAGCACATATCTCAGGTGTTCTTCATGCTCTTCTTTGCTCTTTGTGTACATCAAGATATCATCAATAAGCACCATAACAAATCGATCCAAGAAGGGTTTAAACACCCTATTCATAAGATTCATAAATGCTGCAGGTGCATTTGTCAGCCCGTATGGTAATACTAGAAATTCAAAATGACCATAGCGGATTCAAAATGTAGTTTTTGGCACATCCTCTAACTTGATCTTTAACTGATAGTAATCAGAACGGAGATCAATCTTGAAAAATACTTAAGCTCCTTGCAGTTGATCAAATAGATCGTTGATTTTTTATAATGGATACTTATTCTGAATGGTTACTTCATTTAATTTACGAAAATCTATACATATTCTCATACTACCATCTTTCTTCTTTACAAATAATACAAATAATACAGGTGCACACCATGATGACACACTAGGCCGAATGAAGTCTTTATGTAAAAGTTCTTGCAATTGCACATTGAGCTCTCTTAATTCAGCTGGTGCCATGCGATAGGTAGCCTTAAAAATTGGACTCGTACCAAGTACCAAGTCAATTAAAAATTCAATTTCCCTATCTGGAGGCGTTCCTGAAAGTTCTTCTGGAAATACATCTCAAAATTCACGAACAACTGGTATCTCCTCTAAGCTTTGTTTTCCTTCATCAATAATTTCAACTGAAGCCAAATAACTCATACATCCACTTCTCAGTGCCCGATATGCTTTAAGGGCTGAGATGATCTTCAAAGGTTCTCGAGATTTACAACCCTCAAAACAAAATTATGGTTGGCTCGGAAATTTAAATACTTTTCTTTTCTCAACACGAAATAGAAGCATGACTTTGATGTCATATTAGGATTGGATGTAGTGACCCAATACAAATTTAATTAACATATTTTTTATCTTAAGAAGTTCATGCAAATGATAATATTAACAAAGAGGTTCTATGAAAAATACCACCAGTCCTTTTCCTACTCATCACCGTCTCACCGATTTAGTAACTCTCAGTCATTAGAAGACAGGAAGCACCGCCTCATAAAAAGAAAATATTAAGGAGAAATTCAGATAAAAATCTAAGAAAAAAATAAAAATCAAAGAAAAATTAAGAAAATTCATCATCCTAAATCAAACCTATTGGAGAACTGAAAGATAGTGGAAGGGAAAGAGAGGAAGCAAGAATTCACCCTAAACCTAATCTAACCAAAGGTATAAGCCCTTCTTCTCTTTAGTTTTTGTGATTTTTTAATGAATTGATGGGGCAATAAAAAATGAACTGAAAAGCAGTTAGCATAATTGAGAATTAGAGAATACAAAAAATAAAATAAAATACATACCCTAGCTCTCGCAAGACTCTCGTTGTCGACTGTCTATGTCGCCAGTGAGCCCTCACCGTCGAGATGTCACCCCTGATGGTGGAGCAAGGGGCTGACCTGTGCCTGGAGAAGAAAAAAACACGCGAAGGAGGAAGAAAAAGGGATTTGGGGATGAAGAAGAAATAGAGGAGAAAGAAAGAGAAAACTAAGTTAAAATAATAAAATTTCTTTGGGACCCCTAAAAGTTTACGAGTTTATATATACGTCCAGAAAATAAAAAAATTAAAAATTTTTGTTTAGACCTTTGTTGATCTGTTAATTACCCACAGGCCCAGAATAGTCAAATCCAGTTAAGAAATTAAGCTTAGATAATTATTTGAAAACCCTTAAAACTGTCTGAAATTGTTAATAGGTCCAAAACTATAAGAACATGTTATAGAAATTATGATAAATTGCTAAAATTAGCAAAAAGCCTATGGGTACCCTATTTATAGATTTTAATTATTATTTGATTATATTTGAATTTGATTGGCTCTATATTTTGAAGTGATTAACCTATAGTATATGTTTGTCCTGAATTGATATTAGTCCTATATCTTTATCTTACAAGATCTGGTTGATATCCAAGGGTCATATTTTGAGGAAGTGATATCCACTAGAGGTGAGTTCAATTCTCACTAGTATTTTTTTATAATATTAAATTCCATGAGTATTATAATTGATTGATCTCTTGAAAAATAATTATTCTATTATTTTTCATGTATAGAAAATGATATGTGATTTGATCGATTCCGTCGCGGCCTAACTCATAATATGATTTTGATTTCTTATGAGATATTGAAAGTAAAATTGATTTCATATAAAATGAGATAAATGATTTTGATTCTCACGTGATCTCAAATAAATATGAATATCACTTTATTTGAAAGCTATGTGATATGAAATGTCAGGCTTGACTCGTGCATGAGACTTGTCTTATGTATGAGTCGTTGCTGTCGTGTAATCCGTATTTATAAATTTTTGCTACAGTTTCGACGTGTGACAGTTTGATACTGTCAAACATGCAATACAAGGATAGAGTTGTTTGTATCACTCTTGTAGAGGAAATACGGCTGGTAGAAGTGCAGGCTGATACATCACTTAGGGAGAGAAAGCTTTCCAACACCGCCATTCATATACAAGATGGCATAGCCACGGAAAAAGGTGACTCAGATATCCCGAGTGAGTAAAGAGATCTTCAACATGCATGACCTCTGCATTCATCTTCAGTTACATTGCCTCGTCTACTAAACACTGAACTTACAGGATTGATAGATAGGATGAACAATTCAGGAATCAATGGCAGCTAAATGTCCATATACTAAAATTAAATTGATCCCATGCTTTGCATACAATCTCACTAAACGTCAAACGCAGGAAGATATTGAGGGAAAATTTTGGTCGATTACTTACTGGAATAGAAGCTGGCTTGCATACTGTAATAACATCAGCTTCACTCTCTAGGACTGTAATCTTTTCAGCCAAAACAGGTGGTTCATGCCTGGACAGGTAATGTAGTTTAGCATTTTGATTGTTACCTTGGAGTCCAAAATAAGCAAAACTTTATAGAACACAATATGCCAACTTAAAGGACTATTTCCTCCATTTTCCTATTAGGCTAATAAGTGTGCTGTGTAAGACTCCATGATGCCATAGTCAGTGTACCTTAGGCAAACAAGTTTACATGACAAAGTTCTTACCAATGTAGAGGACTAAGAATGCTATGTTCCACAAAAACTAGCACCCTGACTAGAAACATTACAAAGTTCTTAGACAATGATATCCAGTTGAAAAATTATACGCCAGAAGGGATGAAGGGAAAAACAAAAACTTCTGTTGCCTAATAAAAAATTAAAACATAGAAATGGATTTATTATCCATACTGCATCTTCTCATGTGACTTGCAGAAACAGCTCCTTGGCATAAATTGGTGTCAGTTACTTGAGAAATAAATATTTCCAAAGTACACAGGCCAACAGAATAGGGTTAAAAAAGGATATTTTAGAGGATTATATATCATATATCAAAGTATAGTAACTTTTCTAGTTCAAACAAACAGCAAGAAATCCAAAAAGAGGGCAGACCCACATTTAAACGCAACGTGGCACAATCAGGCGACAAAGAGTGTCATGGTGCACAACGAATCTGACAAGGGACATTCCAAAATTTTTACATGGGGAGATCTATGTACTATAGAAATCTATAAAGTAAAATTGAAAATGTACAATAGTAGAAAGTAAAAAAAAAAACTCAGTCAATGGGCCCATTGTTTGACAAAACTGATTCAGATCTTTTAATGACATTCCTTGGACATGATATATTTCATATAAATTGTTTATGTGATTGAAATGACATCATCATCTTGATTTGAAGACTTTATTTGTAATCGGGATGCCCTTAGACTTCCATACAGTGTCCTAGGTTGAGTTCCAAGTGATCTGGGTTTGACACCTCAAAAATTGACACCATTGAGTTGGGATTGCTTACTTGTAAATGCTATATGTTTGGATGTGTATCCATGTATGTGTGTGATTATGTAATGCCTATAAGAATGATAATATAATACATAAAATGAAAATACTACCGTCTAGGTCAATTCTGCACAAGTTGTAGCATACAGGTGAGCATGTTTAACTATAGGACTATTTACAACTGTTTACAACTTTACACAGAAGTAAAATTTAAGGTCTATCCCAAGCCAAGGGACAACAGGATGTAAAAGAACCTGTGCAGAAAGTGGCTTATCTTTTGTGATGATTGAACAACATATGACGGATGGACAGTTTGTCCATCCACTTGGATCCTCCCTGATTTGACCGCATCAACCTGAAAATTAAGCATGATATGTTCAGATTATATAAAGTGGAAACTTAATCAAATTGGCAGTAGAGGTTAACAGGTTCAGCCTTCCAGCATAATGCAACAAATGACAAACTGAAAGCTTAACCCCATCATTAACCAATCAAATATTTAAAGATCTAAATTCGACCCAGAAAGAAATTATTAGATTTCACTAGAGAAATCAAGATACTTCATAGTAATTTATTAAGTTTAAACTTAATGTGAGACAAGGGACATATTTTATAAAATGGTAAGGAAAACCCCAACCAAAAAATATTGTACTTACTGAAACTAATCTAATCAGAGACCTCAAAAACCATTGAAACTTAAAATAGCAAGAAAAATTAGCATAGGCCAATGTTCAGGTTACAGAGGTCCCTAGAAGATCTACTTGCAGATCTGTTATAAATTCATTGGATTGACTTGGAGAACAAACACACCAACATAACTAGAAGTCACCAGAGACCTAAGTTCAATAACTTACAGTACAAAGATAAGATGATTGGTGGATTCATATCTTGGAAATAACACTAGGGTCCAAAGACAAATATTTTGAATAGTATTGAATCGGTTTATTGGAAAATCATACTGTTTCCAAGAGAGAAATACCCATAACAAGCTCCACTCCTGACTCCGGTTAAGATGTTCATATTCGAACAATGCCCTAAAAATGAAGGATGAAGTAGAAGCAGCAAATATAACACAAGTGATTACAACTCACTCTAATATGAATGCAACTAAGTTTTCTAACATATATAGTTTTAAAGCTAATTCATGAAATAGATATATGTATAACATGGGTATCATATGCTCCACATGTTTGAGCCACTTCTCTTTTCGTCTCGCGCTCGGTCCCATTCCTCCTTGCCTACCTTTGCAATTTCTTTGTCTTACGGTTTTCGTAGCTACCATTGGTGTTGAGGGCTTTGCCTCGGCCCTCACTCTACCGATCTCTGTTGGTAGTTGGGATCTGGTCACAACTCTTCAACGTAGATGGTTTTCTTAGCCTTGCTAAGCTTTTCGGCTTTGGATCTTAGCATAATTTATCTCGCAATGACCAGATTTCTTACCTCCAATCTTGGCCCCTTCATTTTTTAAACAAGTTTGATTCAACTCCCTTCACCGCACGCTTCTCACTTCTGACCTTGTATATGCCCAACAATAATGAGGAAAATGATCTATAAACCAAATACAGAAGAAGGTTGTGACAAATGCTTGGAGGGGCTCTGCGGCAGACTATGTGGAATAATGTTACAAGTACCATTATTGGACTCTAGTTCATTTATCTGCATCCATATCATGCTCATATTCACACTAATTTTCTTATTGCTTGACTTGCTTGCTTGCATTTGAAATATACTATTACACATAATAATTACTTCTACATATTAACAACTCTAAATATTCATTAAATAATTAAAAAATATAGCATAAAAATGTTATTGCTTTAGAAATTATTCTATTTAATCATTATTTGCTGTTAATTTTACTATAAAGTATTAATAACAATATTAAGAAATAAGTTGGTAAAAACTAATTAAAAACCAAGCGTAAAAGCCATCGCAATACCCTACAAACTGACATATTTATCTACTTGTCCTTAGTTTTTCAAGACCAAGACTTAGCCAGAATTCACTCAAGAAAGGACAAATTCTCCATTTCCGTGGAGGATTCTCCAGTCCTCGTAGACTAACCCACACTAATATTAAGGATTAAGGAGAGATGATATAATTGGAAAAAGAAAGTTCTACGCATTCCAACTGCAATCAGTATGACTCCACTATAAAATTTTCTATTTTAAATGCTCAATGCAACTTCAAACTTCTTCGGCTTACATATTAATTACGAAAAACTTAATTAGTCAACCCAAATGGCTTCTATCATTCTCCTAAAAGGGTGCATGCTGATGTTCACGATTCACCAAAAAAAATAAAAATTAAAACTTCGAATCAACTGTAAACCACCGTCTCAAGTTATATAAATTTAAGATTCACTCCGACTTCAATCCAAATATCTTTTTTTTATTAAGTAAAAAAAAAATCGAGAAAGACGTACATAGTAATCATAAGGGCGGCCCTTAAATTCTTCAGCAAAGAGATCGACGATGGTTTTCCCTGCCCATCTATTCTTAGCCTGTGCCAAATACAGATAAACAAATAAACAATTACTTTTAAATTGGTTGGAAAAAATCCTCCAAAATTATAAGACTAGGGAAGGAATCTCACATGCGAGATGAACTCAAAGTAGTAGGGTCGAACGTATCGCCTCCCTGCAGAGAAATGTTTTATTTAGGGTTTTGGTTGAATGCCTTTGCGATAAATGTAGTCTTGAGCCTGAGGAGGGTTTGCAGGGGACTCCCACACGATCTCCATTTTCGTCTCTCTGACTCTCTCTCAGACTCTCTCGAGATACGAGATGGAAGCAAACGGGTCCAATTATTTTATTTACGCAGCCCAATTGACATCCGACGAAAACCGGCCCAGGGAAGTGTGGGTCGTTATGGGCTGCTTTGCGCTCTTTTATTAGTAGAGATTTCTTGCGGGCTCTTGCATGTTTAGATGCTCCAAGCGGATTCATATAGGAATTGTTTAATTTGCGACATTTTAATTAGGAAAGATGAGCAAATTTGCAATTTGTAAACGAATGTTATTCGGTGAGAGCTAAAATGCCTTTGGAAAAAGAAAACAAATAGTAGAATAATGTTGTCTTGTCAAGAAATCTATTTTTATTTCGAAAGAAGAAATCAGGTATGCTACGCGTTAATTTATAGAGCCCCCCTTACAATACACCTTACATTTAAGATCATCTTACATTTAAGGTTATTTTACACAAGTCACCTTATATTTATAATTTATATATAAATCGCTACAAACTTAATTTTCGTTCCAATCAACCACCTGACCCCACATTCCCCTTAATTTCCCCCTAAAATCTCAATAACGCCCTCACATTTTAGACATTAATGAGGTTAGGGGTTTAGTTGCAGAGAGGGGATATGTGAGGAATGTCAAGGAAAAGCGACATGTTTATTGCCCGCAATTTGATTTGATAGATGACAACATACTTTTATTTTGCAGATAGATGGTGAATTCCACATGGACTAATATTCTAGATCTTATTCATTTTAATCATAGAGTTTCTTTACTATATACCCCCAAATTATAGATATTTTGCCCCTTGAATCTTTATAATTCTAAACTCACCCCTCAAATTACTTTCTTTACTTAACTTTATACCTTAATTAATGTTAAAATTTGATAGTCTTTAGATTTGCCTATACATCCCTTTTTTCATGAATAATAGAACTTTCATTAAATAAAGGAAAAATCTTGCAGACCATAATGACTTATAAAAAAGGGAGATGTATCTCTCCAAGTAATAAGCTCGACAAGAGATAAACTCTTTTGTGCTAGACAATGTGCTACAAAATTTCCTTGCCTCCTAATATGCTTAAAAATGCAGCTACAAAATTGAGTACTCCGCTCTTTAATCTCATTAATTTTGGCACCATATAGTGTCAGACATGGTGTATGACTATTAAGCTCTTGAATAATCGCTAAAGCATCAATCTCTGCCATGATGTTCTCAAAGCCAATCTCTTCAACTACGTCCATTCTCTTTAACATCGCCATTGCTTCCACCCATTGAATAGAAGCATTATTGTATGCCCTCCCTACATAAACAACTTGTACTTGCTTAATGCTCCATCATTGTTTATCAAATGCTCCATCACTGTTTATCTTTAATACATCCATAGGAGGGGGCTCTCCAATTGTCTTGAATCATTTGTAAACATAACATTAGTTTTATTTGCCAACAAGTACTCTCTCAGCAAATTTTGAGTGCTAAAAGATAATAGCTTCTTCAGCCAACCCACTATCAACCAACTCTATAGCGATTATGATTACTCCAAATTCCCCATATTAATCTAATCATAATCTCTATTGCACCTTCATTTAGCAAGAGGAAACATTGACAACCAAGCCACCATATTAAAGCAAGCCAGTCAAAAAATATCTATGGACATATCAACTTTCTCCCATATTTTTCTAGCAAAGGGGCACTGTAAAAATATATGATTTGTGAGTCCTAATTTCCAAAATTCTCTACGAAAAAAAAAAATATGTATATAGTCCTGTGTTTGCTAAATATTAAATAATAGTTACGGTGAATAAACTTTTAAAACTATTATTTGGTCACTGATATTATCTGTCTTGTTATTATTAATGTGATTCTGAGCATAGAACATTAGCATATAAATATATGAATATTTGGTTGTTAACTTATTATTCAATTGATTATTATTATTAATATAATATTTCTTATTTAGTATAAAATAACATATTTCCACATTTTCTCTCTCCATATATTTTGTCAACCTTCCCTGTATCTAAATCCTATCACTTTTATGCACAAAATCCTTGCTATCTCTCAAATCTCAAAATTTTCCCCATAATCAAATCTTTTCTCTCTCTCAATCACAACAAATCTTATCATACCCGTACTCCTCTATCAAAAATATACCTATAATATTTAACCTACAACCTAACATCATCCCCTCCTCTCTTTTTTCGTGTTAACCAGCCTCCAAGAAATCCACCCTCTTCTTCTTCTTCTTCCTCAAGGCACCGCGTCGACCAATGCACGCAACCTCCAAGACACCGCCGAGACTCGTCCTACACTTCACCCGGCGCGGCCACAAACTTCGCAGCGCCCGTCAACGCACCCGTCGTAGAGCGTTCCTGCCTCGAGACCGCCGCCTCGCCGCAGCAGCCTTAGCATGCCGCGCCAAAGCGACAATCGGCCTACACCGCCCTAACCTCCGCTCCTCGACGGCTGCACACCCCTCTGTCGGCGTTCCCAACTCTGACCTCACGCATCTCAGATGCTGACCCCGAGCCGCTGTTTCGTTCCCCTCCAACCCAGATCCGCTTCGCCCCGCTGTCACTTCACCCCCACGAACCCCAGCTCCAGCGCGCAGCCGCAGTCCACGTCCAGTCGCCGTCTTGGTAGCGGCCGCGAAACCCGACAGGCCGCTGCCTCGTCCGCCAGCAATCTCAATCCGCTCGCCGTCGGCGCTCCAGTCCGCCTCGCATCGAACTCGGACCAGCCCGACGCCTGCAGCCTGCCGACACCGCTGCACGCGCACCCGAACTCCGAATCCCAGCTCCCGCCGCGGTCGTTCCACGTCGTCGCTGCCCCATCGCCGCAGCCCTTGCCGGAGCTCTTCCTGACATCGTGCTCCTACGTCGGATCTGATCTCGCACGTCGACGTCGACACGTTCGACGAATACACCGAGGCAAGATCTCGCATTCATCTTGCTTTTAATTAATGGTTAATATCATGTTATTATGATGATTAGATATACATAAATTATTTTGTGGTAATATTGTTGTTAGTATGATGATTTAATATGTTTAAATTATTATTGTGGTTAATACATATTTTTGAATATATGCGTGGAATGATGATTACGAGCGCACAGTGAAAATTAGATTAATAATGTTGTTAATTGTATTTTAAGAATTTCGGACATGAAATAACAAGTTATGTGCTAAATTAGAATTTATAGAATTTTATCGGAAAGAAATTAATTAAGGAAAATTTATAAAATAGAAAATATTACTTTTCATGCAGAAAGGAATTTTTATGTTATATTATATAAATCTTTTTTCATTTTAAATTAGTTACAATGAGAAATAGTTTAAAGAATAATTTTTGGAAAAAGAATATTATTATTTAGGATAGTATGACTGATCGTCGTAGAGCGTGACATTTCATGTGCAAAACGACATCGGTTTCTAGTTTTCTTTTTACGGTATTATTAGATTAGAGAATACTTAAGTACAGATAACTAGTATGAGAAGTTTGGATATTCTAGTAGTGATGAAGTCCCTTATGTATGTATTCATGCTATAGTATTTGTTTATACATTTCATGTTCATTATAGTTCTCATTTCTACTTCATAAACCTATTTAATCATGTTTAATATACTATTCTATACTCATGATCTGTTGATGTGTTAAGAACCTTAGTAGTTCATGACTTAGTGACCTTGTGCATCATGAACAGACCTAGTAACACGTGTGAGTGTTGACTGAGTTTAGGTGGTGAACCCGAGTTTAATAAGGATCATGATTGTAGAATTAGAGAATACCAGAGAGTTGGGATGGGGAGGTCCTTGTTCATGTGATCGGATATAGCTGTTGATGTATCTTCCAGACTCGCCCCATGATCCAGTGTAGCTTGGGGTTAGTTTGTTGGGTCAAAGTAAAGCCAGTGTAGTCACTTTGGTCCATGAATTGGATATTCACCCGGGTTTAACTTGAGTTCGAACCAGGTTGAAATCGGATTACGTGTAGCCCTCTGACCGATCCAGTGTAGCGGCGTATTGGGTACACGTAGGGGATTTGTGAACAGTCAGATATCCGGTGATATGAGTGATGACTTTGTGTGAGAATTGACCAGTGACTTATTATAGGATGGATTAGTCTTAGGAATTAGATTACCAGTTGGCTTGAGTACTTCTGTTCATTCTGATAGTAGCAAATATTCACATAAATTGCTAGAATTATAGAATCATGTTCCATCATTATTATTGTCATAGCATGTGTCGTTAGATCGTTTATCTGTACATGTCAGATCTTACCGTGTACCATACACGCTGACGTACACTTGTTTTCTCTGGTGTGCGTCAGACTTAGGAGACGGACAGGTCCAGCTTAACGTGGAAGCAGAGCCAGTGTATGCCGAGCCGGAGTATCCTTCCGATGGAGTGGAAGAACAAACCGAAGCCTAGACGTGTTTTCTTTTCTGTAGTAGCTGATGAACATTAGAACTCATTATCTTTTTATTCTTTAGTTAATGTCAGATTTTCATATTTTTGACAATACTTTCTTTTATTATGGATTATGTATTTTTATTTCTATCTGGACCTGTTTTGTAATAAGGGTATGTTTGACCCATATTTTATGTCTGGGATGATTTATCATGGATGATATGTTATTTCTTATTCTGGATTGTCTTTCTATTCTTGCTATTATGATCGGGGACCTGTGATTGAGATTTATGTATTTGACGCTTAGCGTATTTGATTGAGAAGAAATAAAAATATGATGATAATATTTCTTCTCAATCTAATATGTCACGGACTTGTTCACGTTACGATTCCCCGGTATTTTAGGAAACAGGGTGTGACAGGTTTTAGTGGTGGCCCATGCAGGTCTCGGTCCCGAGTCCTCACTAGTAAGAATATAGTAGACAATTTAGATACATATCATATTTCATCCGTAAGACTATGATTAAGTTCTTATACTATTATCTTAATAACTATGTTTTAACTCCTATTTTCTAATATATTGTTTTGATTTTAACCCTAATTCTTTGATCCTCGTTTTCCTTCAGAACCATGGTGGGTACTCGCGGTTTTAGTAACCCGTCTAGTAGCAGTACCCCACAGCCCGAAGTGGATCCAAACCAACTTCTGGTGATGATTCAGGGATTAGTCACCAATCAGTAGCACCTGGCTGGACAGCTACACAGGGAGCCTCAGCACCAGCCTCCCCCTCGCGCAGAGTCTGGAGTTAGAGAGTTTCGATATATGCGGCCTCCTTCCTTTTCTGGTGCTGAGGGACCTTTAGCAGCATAGGAGTTTCTTAAGGTTACTGAGACTATTCTCATGATGACCCGCATCCCCCATGCTGAATGGGTGGACCTCATGGATATTCAGCTCACCGACACCGCTCAGATATGGTGGGCAGCTAAGAAGACTCATCTGGAGAGGCCCATCCTGTGGGAGACGTTCATCGAGCACTTCAATAAGAAATACTTTCCTCAGTCAGCTCGGGATGAACTCTTACGAAGATTTGTTGAGCTCAAGCAAGGAGGGTGAATAGTTGATGAGTACGAGGCCGAGTTTTCTTCTTTGAGCCGATATGCTCCCCATTTGGTTACAGACCCTACGATTAGGAGGCATCAGTTCCAGAAGGGTCTGGACAAGTATATTAGGATGGCTCTGGCAGGTAGAGCTTTGGCGACCCATGATGCGGTACTGGATGCAGCACGCGAGATTGAGAGCGTGCATAAGGAACCTGAAGACTCTCACGTGATTCAGAGCAGGACACCAGCAGCTCCGGCCCGGAATGTCAATCGTCCCCCTCCGAGACAGCAGCAGCAGGCTCCGCAGAGGCAGCAACATTTCTAGCGTCAGCCATCTCATCAGGCTCACCCTTATCAGCGCCCTGGAGTGCAGACTCGCGGCCAGCCATTGGTGAAGTGTACCCATTATGGCTACATTGGGCATACCCAGCAGGAGTGTCGCAGGCGTCTTAGCGGCAACAGGCCAGTTTACCACTACCTCCAGTTAGGGCAGCTCTCCCAGCACCACCTCGACCAGCTCCGGCAGCACCGCCTCAGCATAGATCTTATCCTTGAGCAGGGCCACTTCCCCCACAACAACAGGTATATCAGGAGGCACACAGGAAGCAATCTCAACAACAGATGTTCATGATGTCAGCTGTAGAAGCTGAGGCGAACGATCAAGTTATCACTAGTAAGAATGGTTTATTCTAAGTTTTATTTGCATATGAACTTCTTTAATTAGCATTACTCGATAATATCATGGTAGGATTGTTTATGAATACTAAGTTAGTTGTGTTATATCCTCCTAAATAGGTAAGGTTCTTGTTTCTTCTGTTCTTGCTTTATCGCTCTTTGATTCTGGAGCCTCCCATTGTTTCTTGTCTCGTCGATTTGCGAGTGCCCACTCTCTTCCTATATCTCCTTTGACTACGGGCTGGAATATCAACACTGGCAGTGGTGTCTTAGTAGCATCTAGTGGTTATGAAGCATGCCCTGTGGTTATCTACAGGAGGGAACTCTTTGCAGACTTTCTGGTGATCGATTTGCCGAGTTTTGATGCAGTATTTGGGATGGATTGGTTGGGGTCGTTCTTTGCCACCATTGATTGTCGCCGTCGGATCGTAGTATTCGAGATACCGGATCACCCGAGATTTGAGTTCACTAGTGGTAGTACATCAGCCGGACCTATGGAGTATAGAGCTAGACCGAAGAAGGCGACGTTAGCTGCAATGCAAGTGGAATCTGAGAAGCCAGATGTAGTTTGAGAATTTAAAGATGTGTTTCCCGACGATATTTACGGATTGTCACCGGATCGAGCGATTGAGTTTTCCATAGATTTGAAGCCTGGAGTTAGGCCGATCTCTAAGACCCCTTATCGCATGCCTCCGGCAGAGTTGGCCGAGCTTCGGACCCAGTTGGATGATCTTTTGCAGAGAGGGTTGATTCGACCTAGTGTATCGGCCTGGGGAGCTCCTATGTTGCTTGTGGGGAAGAAGGATGGATCCAAGCGGATGTGTATCAACTACCGGGAGTTGAATGCGGTGACAATGAAGAATAAGTATTCACTTCCTCGTATTGATGATATCTTTGATCAATTGGGTGGATCGAGAGTATTTTCTAAGCTGGATTTACGAAGTGGGTATCACCAGGTGAAGGTTAAGGATTCTAATGTCCCCAAGACTGCATTCTGGACGAGATATGGACATTATGAATTCTTAGTGATGTCGTTTGGTGTGACTAATGCACCGGCGACATTTATGAACCTGATGAATCTGGTATTCTATGATGTATTGGACAAGTTTGTGGAGGTCTTTATTGATGATATCTTGGTATACTCTAAGAGTGAGGCGGAGCATGCAGAGCATTTGCGGTACGTGTTGAAGACCTTGAGAGAGCATCGACTATTTGCCAAGTATAGTAAGTGTTAGTTCTGGCTGGATCGTATTGCATTTCTTGGACACGTGGTGTCAGGAGACGACATATCAGTGGATCCGAAGAAGGTATCTGCAGTGAAGGATTGGCCTACCCCTAAGTCGGTGTCTGATATTAAGAGTTTCCTAGGATTAGCTGGTTACTACCGTCGCTTCATCAGAGATTTTTCAAAGATTACAGGGCCGATGACACGACTTATGAGGAAGGATATTAAGTTTTTCTGGTCTGACGCTTGTGAGCAGGCGTTTGAGGAGTTAAAGTCTCAACTGATTTCGGCCCCGGTCTTAACAATACCAGATAAGAGCGGGAACTTTGAGGTGTTCTGTGACACATCTGGTAGAGGATTAGGATGCGTTCTTCAGGAGGATGGTCATGTGGTAGCATATGTTTCTCGTCAGTTGAAGAAGCATGAGAAGAATTATCCTACCCACGACTTGAAGTTGACAGCTGTGATTTTTGCCCTTAAGCTTTGGAGGCATTATCTGTTAGGAGAGCAAGTGAAGGTGTTCACTGGAGTTGGCAGCTGTGATTTTTGCCCTTAAGCTTTGGAGGCATTATCTGTTAGGAGAGCAAGTGAAGGTGTTCACTGATCACAAGAGCTTGAAGTACATTATCTGTTAGGAGAGCAAGTGAAGGTGTTCACTGATCACAAGAGCTTGAAGTACATATTTACTCAGAATGTGCTCAACATGAGGCAACGCTAATGGTTAGAGCTGATGGTGAATTACGACATTGATCTTCAGTATCACCCTGGCAAGGTCAATGTGGTACCAGATGCTTTGAGTCATTTGCCGGCAATCATGACCCTTACGGCTCAGTGGAGACTTCGATATGAGTATAGAAGTTCTTCTTCCATGAGTCACCGCTTCTTTGATGAATCTTCAAATTCAATCGACACTGGTCGAGCGAATCAAGGCAGCTCAAGCAGGTGACCCATTTCTTCGGAAGTGCAGAGAGTTAGCAGTGGCTGGTCTTCGACCGGAATTTGTTGTTCATGAGGACGGTTCCTTACAATTTGGGAGTCGTATCTGTGTACCAGGAGGAGATATTCGAGAGGAGATATTGTGGGAATCTCATAGTTCACCATATTTTATTCACCCTGGAGGTACGAAGATGTATAAGGACCTGAAGCTGAACTTTTGGTGGCGTGGTATGAAGAGAGATGTGGCTCGTAGTGTGGCTAAGTGCGTTGTATGTCAGCAGGTGAAGGCAGAGCATCGGCGCATCGCGAGTCTTTTGCAGCCATTGCCTATTCCGGAATGGAAGTAGCAACATGTCACCATGGACTTCGTCACTGGCTTACCTCGGAGCACTAGACACAATGACGCTGTTTGGGTGATCGTAGATCGATTAACCAAATCGGCTCACTTCACTCCCTTCCGAGTGGGACAGTCGATGGAGCATCTTGCTCAGAGATACATGAAGGTGAAACATTTATCTCTATTTATTTCAATGAGTTCCTTTCCCAAGAGTGTTAGTAAATCTATCGTATTGCAGGAGATCGTGTGATTACATGGAGTTTCAGTGTGCATCATTTCGGATCGCGATACCCGATTTACTTCAGAGTTCTGGAAGAGTTTGCAGGCGAGTCTGGAGACCAGTCTTAGTTTTAGCACAACTTATCATCCCCAGACTGATGGATAGTCAGAGAGGACTATTCAGATTTTGGAGGATATGCTCAGAGCTTGTATGCTTGATTTCCACGGGTCGTGGGAAGATCACTTGCATTTGATGGAGTTTGCATACAACAACAGTTTCCAGGCAAGCATTGGGATGGCCCCTTTTGCAGCATTGTATGGGAGAAAGTGCCGCTCTCCTTTGAGTTGGGATGATGTTGGTGAGCGGGAGATTTTTGGGCCAGAGTTAATTGAGAGATCAGTGGATGCAGTCAGGATCATTCAGGAGCGACTTCGTATAGCGCAGGACAGATTCAAGCATTGGGCAGACGCGAAGCGCCGGCATTTGGAGTTTCAGCCAAGAGATCATGTGTTCCTGAAGATTTCCCCCAACCGAAGCACCATTCGCTTTGGGAGCCGTGGAAAGTTGAGTCTGCGATATGTGAGACCTTTCGACGTATTGAAGAGAGTGGGAGAAGTGGCGTACCGACTTGCATTACCACCCGCCCTGGCTGGAGTGCATAACGTATTCAACGTTTCTTAGTTGCGAAAATACGTCGGAGATCCGAGTCATGTCGTAGATTTCTCGGAGATTGAGGTGCGATCCGATTTGACATACGAGAAGCAGCCAGTGGCAATTCTGGACCGAAGGGAGAAGACCCTCCGGAACAAGACCGTCTCGCTTGTTCGTGTGATGTGGCACCCAGATTCTCCTAGAGAGTCGACTTGGGAAACTGAGTCTGAGATGCGATAACGATACCCTCATTTATTTCCTGAATCTTAGCTGTCATGTCTTGTATCTTATTTTAAATCGCCTTGTATGACTTTTCTTATTTATGGATATGCAATATATTTTGAACCTTATATGAGTTGAATTGAATCTATCTTTATATTTTGTCCTTGTCATTTTAATTCTGAGGACAGAATTTGTTTTAAGGGGGGTAGGATGTAACAAACATAATTTTTGATACATATTTAAATGAATTTTCTAGTATTTTAAAAATATTAAATTTTATTTTCCCAATTTCCAAAATTCTCTACGAATAATATATATATATAGAGAACTTTTCAGATGCGAAAAAATTTCGCACCCATTGTTGTGCGAAATTGTAATCGGTCCGTTGGTTATTTTTGAACGGCTAAAAGTGATTTCAAACGTCGTGATCATATGGCCCACTATTCCCCAAATCGAGCTCATCTCCCCTCTCACTTCCCCAGACCCTCCGCCCTCACACTCTCTCTCTCTCCCCCCGAGCATCAGCGCCGTCCCGAAGCGCGAACTCGGTCCTCCAAGCCCCGAAGCACACGCCGACTCTCCGCCCTCTCACTCCCTCTCTCTCCAAGCATCGTCGGCGCGAGGCCGACGGGATCTCGGATCGCCTCTCTCTCCCCCAGCATCGTCGGCGAGCCACCACTGCCGCGAGTCTAGAGCGGCTGCGAGATCCCACCGAGCCCCCACTCCCAGCGACCACTCCACCACCATATGAACCCACCGTCTTGAATCAGGTGGGTTTTTTTCCTTCTCCTTCAATCTTCTTTAATTTAAGATTTAAACTGAAACCTTTGCTTCCCCAGACCCTCCGCCCTCAAGTCTTCAATCTAAAGGTTTTCAAACTTTTGAGTAACCACAAAATCAAGTCATCTTCCTCATAATCCATGGAGCTCACTTTTTTCACTTCTAGCTGTGACAGATTGTTGAGGCAAATATCAAGTTATAACCTTCATTTTTGCAATTCAATGTGGGCCTTTAGCCATATAAGCATATCATATGTGCCTCAATCGACTGGAGTATTGCTTGCTCATCAGCAATCAATATCAAGGCAGATTATAAGGAAGATAATGTGGATCACCCAACACATGCCGAATCGGCTCAACATCAGCCAGATGGAATAACCTTTATTTGAGGTTGTATGAGTCAACTCCAATGCTGCACATATGCCTACACTTAGACACAGGACACAAAAAGAAACATTTTCATGCACATTCCAGAAAAGTACACACAAAACAAAAGTATTGAATCTAATATACGTGGCTGACACAATATAGAATCATGATAGTAGAAATTGCCCTCACAAGTTGACAAGGTAGTGTATCATTTGTTTTAGTAATATTAATGCTATTATTTGTTTAAACCTTTTTTTAAGTTGGTGCAATGATCCTTAATATGTCTTGCTATCATAATTTTTTTTTAGTGGTTCAATGGAACAAGATAATAATGATGAAGCCATTGACGACTTAGAAGATTCATTTGAGGAAGGTAATGGTTAATACATATGGAATAGTTTGTACATTGCCATTTTTTTCAACATAACGTGATTTGCTAATTTTTTTAATACAGATGAAGTTCTCACTATTGCGTGAAGTTTGATCGAGGTTGGCGGAGCAAACAGATCGGATTATGTTCAGTTCCAATGGAACATGTGTTGGTATTATTGTTGTTGTTGGTATTGTTGTTGTTGTTGGTATTGTGAGAGACATGAGCTTTTTTCTACTATCATGATTTTGTTGGTATTGTGAGAGACATGAGCTTTTTTCTACTATCATGAGTTGTTGGTATTGTTGTTGTTGTTGTTGTTGTTGTTGTTGGTATTGTGAGAGACATGAACTTTTTTCTACTATCATGAGTTGTTGGTATTGTTGTTGTTGGTATTGTGAGAGACATGAGCTTTTTTCTACTATCATGAGTTGTTGGTATTGTTGTTGTTGGTATTGTGAGA